GGGGGGGGGGGGGCCTTGTTCTCCTGGCGAGGACGCACCAGCCTCACTGCCAACCGGGAGGGACCCAGGAGGAGCCCCCGACCCTGCAGGGCCAGTGGCTTCAGCAGAGCTGGTGCCCCCAAGAAGAGGAGTCAGGAAAGGGTCTTTAGGGTGCTGGGAAGGGGCTTGGGGATGGTAGGGGAGAAAGATGAGCCCCTACCAGTTGTTTTAAGAGATTAATCAGCTGACCCCAAACTACCAGGAAGACGGGGTGGAGGAAGGGAACCCGCAGGCAGGACGCTTGGGAATCTTGACTCCCCACGAGGAGGGCAAGGCCAGCCCAGGGCCCGGGGACCTGCTCAGATTTAGGAAACCCCCAGACCAAGTATGAGGGTGGCAAGGAATTTACACCCCTGAGCCTGGGCTTTTCTCCAGTGACAGGCTCTCAAAAACAACAACAACAAAAATGTTAAGGAGTTGAGAGATTTCAATTTCTTGCTCCAAATTCCAAAAGTTCTTAACCCGGGGTCTACAGAGAGCCTTCCAAGAACCCCTGAAATTATCCACAGAAACGTGGCCCTCACGGGCCAGGAGAATTTGCTAGGCACCCAGCAGCTCTGAGTAGGCTCTGGGCTGAATCACATCCACATTCCTCTGCTTTGGGGTCAAAAGCCTTCGGGATGTTAGGTGCTGAAGGTGGGAGAGGCACAGGGAGGGGAAGAGAGGGCGAGTGGGTGAGGAGGTGTGGCCGCAGGCATAGCCAGGGCCCCCGCAGTCCTCGTGCCCCCGGTGGGTGCCGTGTCAGCCTCTTCTGGGGACACTGGCCTGGCCTGGCACGCTCCCCATCCTGTGCAGACAGGGGCCTCGGGCTCCCAGCCGTTTTGTCCCAGACCTCTGGGGGGTTTCTCGGGCTCCAAGTCCCCTCCATCGCCAGCAGCTCGGGCTGGACTGCCCCGCTCCTGGGCACCTGGGCCAGGGGATCTCCCTGCCTGACACGATTAGTCTGATTTCCTTTCCTCTGTCAGCCAGTGGGGAGAATAACAGCTTCCTTTTCCGAGGGACCTTGAAAACCAGCAACAGTTGCCTCTCCAGCAATTGCACATTAGAGCAATTTTCTGTCTTGATTCACTTGGCAAGTTTGTGATTGCCTTGCGTGGCTTTTTCTTATTTTATTTTATTGTTTTTTCTCTCCTTGTTGCCTCTCGTCTGTGACTTCGGCAAACAAGCAGTTTTCCTAACGGAGGCCCTGACTGTCTCCTGCTTTCTTTCTCCTCGCTCACCGCCTGCTGTGAGCTGCTCAGACAGACACCTCGCTCTTAGGTGACAACCACAGCGCCAGGAGGCCTCCTAACACTCAACAGCCATTTTCAAACACCGCTTGGCCTCCGAATGAAATCCTGAAACTGAGGCTGGACTGAAGGAGTAGGGAGGCTGCAAAGAAAAAGGGGGAGCTGGATGCCCACGGTGGAGGGAGGGGGGAGTTAAGAAATGGTCCCCCCACCCCGACCCCGCCACACACACAAAAGGCTTGGTGTCTTGTTTGCAAAGACACATCTCAGCCCGGACAGCCCGGGCGTTAAAAAAGCAATAGGTGCTCTAAACCACAGCTCAACCGTTTCTCCAAAATGCGACAACCCTCCCTTCTCTGGGCTCCTCCTTCAGACGATAGCAAAGAAGAGGTTAAAGAAAAAAAAAAAAACAAACAGAAAAGCAACCACTAAAACCAAGAGAATCCCCTTCTCAGGAATTCCCACTCCTTCCACCCTCTTCACGGAGCCTCAAAACCTGCCCTGCGCGCTCCACGTTCCCGAAAGTCCCAGCTCCCTCGCCGCCCAACTGTGCTGCTCTGGGTTGCTCTGACTGTGAGAAAGGAATAAGGAGGAGGAAGTCAAAAGCCAAACTTAAACCGGCTCCTCTCCTCTCCAAAAACATAAAAGAAAATAGGTATACAGGTACCCCTGGTTCTGGTTTAGGGAAACCACAGCCCTCTCCCTCACCCCTCCCCAAATGTCCCGGTCTCCAGGGAAGACACAGAAAAGCCAGGCAAACCCGAAGGCAGAAGGTGTGCCCGACGGAGGGGGAGAGATCAAATGCGGAAATGAGGGCAGAGGACGAGAGGCATTTGGAAAAGTCACTCTGTCCCCTCCCTACACAAACCACCACCCCAGCCTCAGAGACCATGATCTGGCCCCCAACGTCTTAGCCCTACCAGAAAAGAGAACTTTCCCCAAAAAATCCCACCCCGACTTCAAAATGGACAGGTTTTTCTCTTACTGCCATCAGCCTCGGAGCCTTGATCGAGCCCCTCCACCCCGCCCGGGCTTTTGTGAGCAGATCTGTACCCCGCTTCCCAGGGACCCTCCACTCGCCGAGGCAGCCAGGCCACTTTCCTGCCCTGTGCTCCCTTCCTCTTGCTTTCTCTTCAGCTCCACCAGCGAGCCTACCTCCCTCTCCCTCTGCCGACTTTCATGTACTGAACACGCAGGTCTGAGTTTTCTGTCAGCCTAACCGCATCCGGGCTCTATTAAAGTTCCTGGCTCAGGATAAACAATGCAACTGTCGCGTGCAGCAGTCTGAAAATAATTGGATTAGCTAAAACATATCAACTAAATAGAGACAGTCCTGCCCAGGCAGTCGGAGTGAATGTCACCCTGGAAAAAAACCCTGGAAACTGATCTCATGGTCACTGGGCACCCAGAGCCCTCCCTCGGAAGTTTTCTAAACCCCGGTTTTGCAGGCTCTGTTTCAAGACTGGTTGTCTCATCCAGCAAAGACAAGTGATTTCCACCACTTCTGTGTATACAGAGTCTCTACAGAGAGAGAGCAGAGGGTACCCAGTTGGGACAGACCAGGACAGAGACGCCCACCCTGAAATGGACACCCCCAAGGAGACATGCCAATCTTCCCCAAACCATCTCAAAAAATACAGTGAAATCTCATCTCAGAGACTCCCCAACTCTGTTTCAGCTGCTTCGACATTGGTGGTGGATTATTTTTATTTTTAAAGCAGAAATACTTTGTGCGGGCTTTACTGTTTCTTTTCGTGCCAGCCTCTACACCAAGAGAATAAAAATGCGGCTCGCTTTTAGCTGGGGTGTGCTTTTCTGAGAGAGGATGGGCAGAGGAAGCAGAGACACACCTGGGGAATCTTTTTCCATCCTTCCTAACCCCTCTGGCTTCAGATCAGTCGGGGAGTAGGTCGTAAGACGCCTTCCTTCCCTGCCTGAGCTCCCAGCACTAAAGACACTGCAGTTAACTAGCCCTTCTGACTTCCACTGAACTGCCTCCCCAGGGCAGAGCCCACCTCTCTACCCAGAAGTCAGGATGGGAGACTTCTTTCCCACGCAGAGAATGTGTGTCCTGTCTTTGCCACGGTCCCGCCCCCGGCGAAAAATATACACACGCTTTATTTATACATGTCTGTGTAAAGGGCTGTCCTCTGGTGACTGTATGACCCCCTCTGAGCTGAGCGGAGGAGACCGGTCAGGACGTAGAGGCCAGGGGGGTCAGAGGAGGGACCTGTGTTTGTTTGGGTTTCAGGAGGTTTCGTTTTAGCACTAAGCACTAAAGATGTATTCCCTCCCCTTCCATTTGTGCTTGGAAACTGACTAAAGGTTACTGCCAGCACCCAGAAGTTCCTTGGCAGGACAGGCAGGAGATGGGGGTTTGTTTTTGTTTGTCTTTTTCCTTCCCCAGCTCTTGGGGGTGGCTTTTAAATCAGATCTCACTTGCCCTCTGCTCTGAAGACAGGAATGAGAGAGGACACACCTCATTCTTTCCCCGCTGGAAGAATGGGAAGATATTAAATCTGTGAAGGGTCTGAACGGCCACCCAGCCCCCAGGAGGGGCCGGAGGGCACGCTCTAGTCCCTGTCCCGGATTTTGGAGCAGGGAGGGGGGCGAGGGGAAAGGTCTCGAGGGGAGAGAAGGTTCCTACCTGTGCTGGATCTGGCCTTGGGCCTCGACTTGCATCCGAAGCCGGTGGGGGAGCCCCCGAGCAGGCTGCTGGGCGGGAAGAGTCCGGAGCTGTACTCGGGAACGTAGGGCGGGTAGGTGGTGATGGGGTGGTGGGCTGAGGCCGCCGCCCCTCCCAGGGTGGTCATGCTGCTGCGGGGATGTGCCGACTCGAGCTTCATGCTGTCGGGCAGAGGCACCTGGTACTTGATGCACTCCTTCTCGTCCTGGCGGCCCGAGCCGGCTGAGCCCGGGGTGGACAGGGACGGGTCCGGGGAGACGTCCTTCGGCGGGGTGGGCGGAAAGGTGAAGAGGTGCGGGCTGGAGTGGCCCGCCGACAGGGACGAGGACGAGGCTGGGGGGTAGACCGACAGGGGCCCCGGGGAGCCGTGGTGGATGGACGTCTTGGAGAAGGGGCTGAGGTTCCAGGGTGAAGCGGTGTGGTGGCTGCCCAGCGCCTTGCCGCCGTCCAGCCAGGGCAGGGATCCGTGCAGCAGAGGCGGCCGGCACACCTGGCTCCCTGCGTGGGTAAACGGGAAGGCCCGGGAGAGAGACAGGCGAGTGAGAGTAGCCCCCAGAGGCCTTCAGGCACCTGGGCATCCTCCCCCTCCACCCCAGCCTCCCTGGCAAGACAATCCCCACACAGGCCGGACCTCACACTCCCTGATCTTGGGGGCCCCAGCAGTACCTGAGCCAACACACCCCCTTCACCCCTATCTCCCCACCAATGTCCCATCAAATCCAGGGAATTAAGGGCCTGTGTCTGACACCCAAGAGGTGCTGCCATGGAGCGAGAAGGGCCCTGGCTTCCTAGGCCTCTCCAGATACACTTTCTGAATCACAGCCCCGAGGTCCCCCTCTGGAACCTGACTTGATTTATTGGTTTCCTTCAATGGCTCAGCGGCCCCCAGCCCAGACCTAATCCCAGGCAGCCTGATAAGAGGGTGGGCTGGGAAGGATGAGGCCTGAAGGGGTGAGCCACACAACCGCTCAAAGCCAGGAGAACACACGGACCCTAAGAGAGGCCCAGCTGCAGAGCCAGCTCCCCAAGCCCAGAGCAGGGAGAGGGTTTGAAAGAGAGGAGAGGGAGCATTTTAGGGTTACTTGCACGTAACCCCACTTCACTGCTTGCTCGGAATTGGCCAGGCCTGGAATGGGACTTGCAGGGAAGTGAACCGCTGAGGCTGGCGGAGAAAGTTTCCAAGCCTGGACTCTGGGATGGCACTTTTATCTGCCGTTCTCACCCTCCCAGATCCTACTGGAAAAAAAATAAAACAGGCCCATACGCCCCCAGGGTTGTGACTCCACCAGTGCAATGTGTGAATTTTCACCTGAGCCCCTGAGACACAAAAAATTCCAGTTTCTGTGTCTATTTCACTCACACACACAGTAAACAGAGCTGTCGTTTGAAATGCAGAGTTTTAAGGCAGCTGTAACTCAGACCAGAGAGGCTCTGAGAGGGGTAAGTTTAAATGGCAAGTACAAATCCACACACTTATTGATCTTTTAATCCAGTACCTGTCTCAGCGTTTGACATTCTATTTAACCATTAAGAACAATACCGAAACTAAAATCTTAAGAGAAAGGAAGGGGAGGGGAGTCGAGGGGGAAGGAGAGCTCTCCGAACACCAAGGGTCAAGCTTCACATTATGCAGGAAGTAGCAATAATATTAAGGCTGCATCTACCGCATTTCCACTTAACTGCTGATCTGCACAGAACAAGAGCAAAGAGCGCCCCATCCGCAGAAACAATTGTTTGAAACCTGGTGACAGCAGGGGGGAGAACGCCTGCTGCCCTAGGGGCTCTGTCATCGGCCCCAGCCCCGGGATCTAAGTCGGGGAACCAAGGCAGACCTCAACTGAGATGGCCTCACAGCCCCTCTGTCTGAAATGTTGCCATTTCTTCTTTGGGAACACGCTTACAGATGGAAAGCCTTAAGAGCTGTTTCCCACCAACTACATAGGGCTGGGTTTCTCTCTACCATTTCAGAACTCTCCTGAATTCCTCAAGGTGAAAGAGAAAGAAAAAAAGAAAAGAAAAGGCAACTGGAATCGCTCCTCCATAAAAGGAAACCCTGATGGATCCCAAATCTTCTTTGGGAGCCTAATGGGTCTGTTGTAGGGCCGAAGGAGACAGCAAGGCAAGAGTTGCGGGAGGCAGGCAATGAGGCAACCAAAAAGTGTAGACGGAGGAAAATTCCGTGCAGCCGGGAATCTAGGAAACCCCAAATGTCTCAAACTTAAGACGGGGGCCTTTCCACCAAAACCCGGTCAAAGCACCAGACTTCCCTTCCTCAGAGCCTAGAGGTAGGAGATGTGCCTAAAAACCAAATGCACTAGCTTTGGGGAAGGGCCGAAACACAGCGGTGGGAATAAATACGTTTCTCTGGCCTTTCTGGAAATGTGCCGGAGAAACATACCGAGGCACGCCGGCAGAAACCCCAGAGAGAGAACCAGGGGATAACCGGGGGAACGAAGCCCCTAGAAAGAACCCAGCCCCAGCCAGGTTTAGCCGGCACCGGATGCCCGGTCGGGGGAGCGGTGGCTGGTGGAGGCAGAGGCTCGGCTCCCCGCGCCCGGGATCTCCGAGGCCCCCGAACCAGCGGCCGCTCGGGGAGAGAGGGCTGCAGCGCGGCGCCCGCCAGGTGAGCGCCAGGCCCAGGGGACCGCAGCCGCGCAGAGGCGCCTGCTGCGACTGTTTTGAAAAACAGACTCTCGCGACGACCGAGACGCCTTCCTCGCCCATTTCCGGGCCCCAGTTTTTTGTTGTTGTTGTTGTTGTTGTCTTAATGAAGCAGCAACGGCACTTGGGGGCTTTGGCCGGGTATCCCCACCCCCTGGTCCCTCCCTGCCTCTCCGACCCGAGAGAGCCGGGACAGCTGGGCGGAGGTCCCCGCACCCGGGGCGGACTCACCGTGGTGGGTCGGAGGGTACCTCTGCACGGTGGCCCTCACCGAGTTTCCGTAGTAGGACGGAACGTGGTTGCCTTGACCGTCGATGTTAAAAAGTACATCCACCTCCTCCGGCAGGGGGTACTGCGCCGGGTCCATGTAGGAGTGGCCGAGGCCTGGGTGGTGCGTGTCCGGATGCTGCCCGTTGAGGACCGCGGGGTGGTGGTGGCTCACCCAGCGCGGCTGGTCCGCCGTCACCTCCATGGCCCCGGCTGCGCTCTCGCCCTCTCGCCGGGCCCGGAACCCGCGCGCTGAGAGGGAGGGCGGTCGGGCTGGGAGGTCGGGGGCTACGAGGCTCTGCAGGTGTTCCTGCCGTCGGAGGGGCGGGGGTCGTTTAAAGATTTGTTTTCAGTTGGGAAATGGGAAAGCTAGGAAGGAAAGGTGAGCAAATCAGATTTTTTGAAAAAAATCTTTGCGGGGTAGTTTATCGAAAAGAAGAGAAAGAAAAAAGAAATTCCAAAAATTAGGTATGGGAGTATAAAGGGGGACCAAATTGTAAAAGGGGGGCGAAGACTGGCTGGAATTCTGCAAGTGAGGCTCCTCTGCACCGGGGGGCTACTCGGCGGCTCCAAGACTGAGTCTCTCCCGGGTCACCTGCAAAGGAGAGAAGGGGAGACCTGGATGAGGTCCTAAGTGCTTAGCACCTGAGTTTATGAAGTGGCACCACCTCCCCGCGAGCCGCTCGGCCCCGCGCCCGCGCCCCCGGGACACGCACACACGACGCACACACGCGCGCACACGCGCACGCCCCCTCCGGAGGTCGGAAAACCGGGAGGCAGCGGGGGACTGAATGACGCCCAAATACATCCCCAGCAGCCCGGCTCTCCCGGGAACCCGGGACTGACTGAGCGGTTTCAACTTGGACGACAACTCCCTCCCTCCAGGGACCCAGGTCCCAGGACCTACTTTCCAGCCTCCAGAAACTCTCCAGAAGAGTAGGGTTGAGTTTTCAGTGTTTTAAAGTCCTCCCAGATGGAGAGAGGAAACAAATCAAACTTAAAAAAAAAAAAAAAGTCGCCGGTACCAACCTGGGTAGCGAGGAGCAGAGAGGAGAAGGAGAAGGCGTGTGACCTGGGAGAGCAGAAACTGCCCGGTCAGATTGCGTGGCT